GTCTATCTTAACTAAGATTTCGGCTTTCCTAGTTAATGTTAGGGATATTTTCGTATGCACGTGTTACTCACACGTACATCATTGGTGACCCTGTCCCTCGCTCCTTCTGTTTCGATCCCTAATGACTATCTGTCTCAATCTTTGTTAAAAAACTAAAAATATGCCTTATTTTGATGCCAATGCTCTTCCTTATGACTGATAAAGGCTCCACCCTATTCATTTCCTCCTCATTTTATCGTACGGATTACACGTGGTTTATCACACTTAAGGAGGATTTACAGGTATGTGGTCAAATTTTTTTAATTATCTGTGATTGGTCTTAATTATGTTTTTGTGATATGTTTTGCTCTAAAATTATAGTTTTAATTTAATTATTGATTGTTTAAAATTGATCTTTGAGTAATATTTGTGCTCACACTTTTATTGAGATATTGAATGTCTTCGTTATTTTATTCTAAATTGATACTGTTTTGATAAGGTATAGTGCAAAACATTAAGTTTACGATTTACGATATATTTATAATTGGCAACCATGCCAGGATCGGAAGGCCAAACCAACGAGGAATCGAATATGGCGGTTCAGGAGCCACAAATCTCACACGTGGCAGTTAAAATTCCCCCTTTATGGAAAAAAAATGTTAAACTTTGGTTTATTCAAGTTGAAAGTAACTTTGCTTTAGCGAAGATTAGTAGCGATAGTACAAAATACAACCACGTGGTTTCTTCGATAGACCCTGAAACTCTTTCCGCAGTATCAGATATTTTATTTAATCCCCCAGCGACGGCTAAATATGATGCCCTTAAAGCTAGGTTAATAGGAGAATTCTCAGATTCGGAAAGCGAGCAAAGAGCAAATACGCACACTTATTTCTGAATTGCATTTAGGGGACGACAAACCATCTCACTTATTGAGAAAAATGAGAGAATTAGGTGGAAACTGTATAACTGACGAATTTTTAAAATCATTATGGCTGCAAAGGTTACCTTCCGAGGTGCATGCCATTTTATCAATAAGTTTGGAATCCTTAGACAATTTAGCAAAAATGGCTGATAAGATAGCTGAAGTGCGCACGCCAACGAACAACAGCGTGTTCGCGGTCCAGGCAGCTTCGGCCAGTTCCCCCAGAAACCCTAACGATTCTGGTGCCCCCCTCGAGGAGCTTAAGGCCTTAAGGAGTGAAATGAAATCTCTGCCCTAAGTAAACAAGTCGAGCGACTCTCCCGCGGAAAAACGAGGAATAATTTCCCCCGGGATCAACATAACAAAGCACGTAGTTTTTCGCGTGGGCATTCCCGAGAGCGTGTGAACAATTATTGTTATTTTCATTCGCGATTCGGTAGTAATGCACGAAAATGTCGAGCACCTTGTTCCTTTTCTCAGAACACTACGGCCCAGGAAAACTAGTAGTAGCGGCTATCGATCGAAATTCATCGGCAGTCGCGCATTCATGTCGTTTACATGTTTACGATAACAGATTAAATTTAAACTTTTTGATTGATTCGGGCTCGGATGTTTCATATGTGACACCGACTTCTAAGTTTAAGGAAAATGCATCCTGATTCGCTTCAATTATTTGCCGCGAATAATTCCAGAATTTCTACGTATGGAACAAAATTGTTAACTGTGAGTTTAGGACTTAGACGAAACTTTTCTTGGAAGTTTTTAATCACCGATGTACCAGTGCCTATAATAGGAGCCGACTTTTTAAGGCATTTTGATCTTTTAATCGATTTAAAACGAGGTAGGCTTATCGATAATACTACGAAATTAACTCGTATTGGTTCTCTTTCCGATTCTAAAAATTATTTTTCGGTAAAGTTAATATCTGGTGATTCACCATATCACAGAATCTTGAAAGACTTTCCTAAAGTACTGAAGTTAAAATCCGATTCGGGTAGTGTAGAGTAAAGCATATAGTACGGTTCATTACATCGAAACATACGGTCCTCCTGTGCACAGTAAACCGCGTAGGTTAAGCCCTAAGTTATACGAAGCAGTAAAAAAAGAATTTCAATTTATGATAGATCAAGGTATTTGTAGACCATCAAAATCAGCATGGTCATCACCTCTTCATGTAGTTTCTAAAAGTTCGGGCGACATACGGCCAGTAGGAGACTACCGAAAACTAAACGCGTGCACCGAACCCGACAGATACCCTATCCCGCATTTACAAGACTTTAATAATACGCTTAGCGGAAAGACAATTTTTTCAAAAATTGATATCGTTCGGGCATATCATCATATACCAGTCCATCCAGATCATATACCGAAAACTGCAGTTTGCACCCCATTTGGTCTTTTCGAATTTCCGTTTTTAAATTTCGGACTGTGCGGAGCAGCTCAAACCTTTCAAAGGTTTATGAACGAAATTCTTGGAGATCTAAAATTCGCCTACGTCTACTTAGATGATATTTTGATATTTAGTCATACGGAAGATGAGCATAAATCTCACCTACGTACTGTTTTTGAAAGATTAACTTCATATGGATTGACAATTAACGCTTCGAAATGTGTTTTCGGCGTTCCGGAAATATCTTTTTTAGGCCATATAATCAATAAAGATGGTACCAAGCCTCTGACGAACAAAGTGGAACCGATACTTAACTACCCACTTCCTAAAACGGTAAAAGATTTGCAGAGATTTTTAGGATTTTTAAATTTTTACCGTCGATTTTTACCCAACGTAGCCCAGAATCAAATACATTTAACTTCGTATTTAAAAGGGGCTAAGAAAAATGATAAGACAATCCTGAATTTGTCTGAGGAAGCGCGGAGTGAATTTCAAAAGTGCAAACAGCTAATCGGTAATGCTGTTCTTTTGGCACACCCGAAGAAAGATGCCCAGTTGGTTTTACAGGTTGATGCGTCAGACTTCGCGATCGGTGGAACGCTATCACAAATAGTTGATAGAAATTTACAGCCTCTCGCATTTTTCTCACGAAAGCTTTCGCAGGCGGAAAGGAACTATAGTGCGTATGATCGAGAGCTATTGGCAGCTTATGCTGCTATTAGGCATTTTAAGCATATGTTGGAAGCACGGAACTTTTCTTTAATCACCGATCACAAACCGCTCACGTATGCATTCCGACAGCGTTTGGATAAGTGTTCACCTCGTCAGGCTAGGCAGTTAGACTTTATCTCACAATTCACCACTGAAATTCGCCATATAAAAGGTTCGGAGAATATCGCTGCCGACGTACTTTCGCGTATAGAAGCAATAAGCATGCCTAACCCTATCGACTATGAGGAAATCGCTAAAATGCAAGAAATCGACCCAGAATTACAAACATTGCTTAAAGAGTCAAAAGTTCTACATCTCAAAAAAGTTACCTTACCGAATTGTAGCTTTTCCGATATATTGCGATGTGTCAACAGGTAACGCCCGTCCTTACATTCCTCCGGCATTCCGTGAGAAAGTTTTTGCCACCTTGCACAATTTGTCTCACCCCGGCATTCGCGCATCAACAAAGTTAGTATGTTCACGGTTTGTTTGGTCTTCCATCCGCAAAGATTGCGCGAAATGGGCACGGCAGTGCATTCCGTGCCAGAAAGCAAAAGTAAGCAGACATACTAGAACCCCGTTAATGAAGTTTCCAGACCAATCACAGAGGTTTGATCACGTCCACCTTGACCTTGTTGGTCCCCTACCTCCTTCTCAAAATAATTATTACTGTCTAACTATGATAGATAGATTTACTAGATGGCCCGAAGCAGTACCCATACCAGACATAACAGCACGCACACAGTAGCACAGGCTTTCTATGACCACTGGATTACTCGATTTGGTTGTCCGACTGTTATTACTACCGACCAAGGGCGACAGTTTGAAAGCGGCTTATTTCGAGCCCTTTCCCAATTATTGGGAATCAAGAGGATCAGGACGTCTCCGTACCACCCACAGGCGAAACGGACTGATCGAGGAATTCCACCGTCCTTTGAAAGCTGCCTTAAAAGCGCACGATACCAGTGACTGGGTGGCTGCCCTTCCAACGCTGCTGATGGGTTTCCGCGCCGCTCTCAAAGAGGACATAGGAGCAACCACTTCTGAACTGGTGTATGGAAAGACTATCCGTCTCCCAGGAGAATTTTTCAATCCGACACCTCCGGATGCGTCCCCCAAACAGTTTGTGGAGGATTTAAAATCTCACTTTGCCAGTGTCCGCCCGACCACGACTTCTAGCCACGGTCAGCGAACATGTTTCATTCATCCACGCCTTCACAAGTCCACATATGTGTTTGTTCGACACGACGGAGTTAGAAAACCACTTCAAACTCCTTATGATGGACCATTTAATGTGCTAGAAAGACGAGATAAAACGTTTGATCTCGAAATAAAAGGGACTAAGCAAACGATCTCCATAGATAGACTGACACCCGCTTTTGTAACCATGGACTCTTTTCAAGTTGCTTCCAAGAGTGTGAAAAAAACTTCGGACATTTGTATCACCCGTTCTGGACGATTAATCCGACCCCCGCATCGGTATGTCACATTTCGTTGACACTGCGGAGGGAGTATGCAGCGGCAGCGCCAAACAGGCGATACGGACTTAAAAACTGTACAGAAAAGCGCCAATTGGCGAAACAGTAAACCCGTTTGGCAAACATACAGGCTGACGGGGAGAGAAGAATTTTCCCCGGCAGTCAAGGGGAACTACTTCAACAAATGTGTGCGTCTCTGTTTCGCCGAGATATGTGAACTTGTGTACTCGCATCTGTACTGTGCTCTGAATTTCTTAAGCCGTTATAATGTACCCGGCAACTGTTACTTTTCCTTATTAAATTTGATTATTAATTGTAACATGTCTATCTTAACTAAGATTTCGGCTTTCCTAGTTAATGTTAGGGATATTTTCGTATGCACGTTTACCAAATTAAATTATATAAAAACATAACTTTTTTGAAAAATTATTTCGCTTTAAAGAAAAAATGTTCGACCCTTTAAAATAAAAATTTTGCATATAAAATATTTTACTTTTACTAAAAATTTCAAATTTCTTACCTTAGCATCAATTTCTTCCGCTTTTTCATTAGCCTCCTGTTCTATGAAGTCCATCATATGATTAATCTGAAATTAAAAAAAGTATAGAATTATATATTTTAAATAAAAGGTAAATTTAACATAACTCACACATTAAACAAAATCTGAAATGTTTTCTTTATCTTCAGGGAGGGGACAGAACAGCTTTTGCATATAATAAAAGAAGATGTAATACATATAATCTCACAGTATTCTTAATGTTACTTAAATGAAAACAATAAAATTTTGGAAAAATATCAAATATTTAATTAATCTTTCAAGGGTATATGATTTGAAAATTCCAGTTAGCAACATAACACTATTCATAATAGGCCGTATATTGTTATTAAATTTCATAATAAATTAATGCACCATTTAATTACAATATAAATAGGAAACTAACTTCTAAAAAAATCTAAAAGTTTCTAGTTTTCTAGAAGTTGTTCTAATCTAGCCTTTTTAAATTCTCAGTATTACATCTTTCCCAACAGTCTGAGTACATTATAATGCCATCAATAATAATTACTTGAAAAATTTTTAACCAAATTTCTAGCAGAACAGTTGACACAGCAAATAAAAACATCATTTTGTTTCTCGGCAAATCTCAGCCACACACCTAATGGGGTGGAAGGATGTGACTAATGCTGTTTTTACTACATGAAAACAGACTTTCATCAACTTTGACAATATTATCAATGCTGCCTATTTTAACTCACGGTCTAGACATTAATGCATGGCCACAGACTTCCCATTTATAACTGCTCAACAAAAGTATAATGATTTATATTAAGTTGATACTGATAAAATCCAGTAGATGTTAACTCTAAATACTATGCATAAATGAAATGAATTGTCTGCATAAATGAAACTGATTCTCGATCCTTCAAACCAATTTTGAGAATGGAATCCTGTTTTTTTCTCTGCACCTCAAATCTATATTTTGGTACTTCCTTTGACCTGAAGTAGAGCTTCATTTTATGTTTTTTGTGCACTTCAAAGTGAATAATTCCTCGTTCCTGAATAAACTATATGGAAAATGTTTCATTATTAGGTAAGTCCCAAATTTTCAAATCCACAGCAAATACAATAACAATAAAAACACAACTGACTGTTTACATCTTCTGAATTTGTATTCTGCCAATTTTGAACATTCTTTTACTTTTTTTTAAATGTAAACATTGTAACAATTTTAAAAGTAAACATTGGAGACTTCATTTGGATCAATCTCTTGGCGGGTTTAGAAAAAATATATAGCAATGACTCCGTATCTCATTACAGAACAGTACCAAATTAAGTTACTTAGAATTAGACTAGCCTTTTCTCTGTGCGAACTTAATCATGTGTTTGGGCACCTGGGTAAGAGACCCTATCTTAGTCTAGCAATTGGATCTGCTTCCGAATGTTGGCAATCGTGGAGTTTGGGTTGAAGAGTAGCAATAATAAGCATAATGTTGAGGTATGGCAGATGAATTCTTTTTGTTTGTTTTTGTAGAGAGTCCTGAGGTAAATAACAATTTTAGAGACAAATGATAGCAATTAAAATGGGCTGATCTTTGGAATATGGTAACAGGTAGTTTGGCAACATTTTGGAAGCAATAAAGGTTACTACCTAGGACTTTGGTAATAATGTGAGAAGTACTCAGTTCCGATTACACATTATTTTGTGTGAGGGAAATGAGAGATCATGAGATATGTCATGTGACATTAATGGACGAATTACAGTTCTTTAGTAGGAAAAGGGGTAAAATTTGGAAAAATATCTGTAGTACTATATTATTTTGTATTAAGCTTCATTGTGTGTTGTGTGAAATAGTGTTGATTAATTTTCGGATTGCATGGCGCTATGTAAAGTGAATTCTAAATTTTTAATGTGTTTATCTGATAATAATAATAAGTTGAGATTGTGTGAAAGGAAGGCTATTACAGATAAGTTTGAATGGCAGTGCAAGAAATCTGGTGAAAATGGACATTTTGTGAAACGGAGTATAAGGAAGGGTACTTGGTTTGCTGAAAGTAGTTTGAGTATGGGTGAAATTTTATTAATTTCTTATTACTTGGTGAATAGACTGCCAGTTGACTACTGGATTTCGGATTTAGAAATTGCAGCCGATTGGAACTCTTTCTGTAGGGAAGTGTGCATGTGACGTAATGAAGATTCTGAAGAAGATTAGGTAAGTTAGTATTTTTAATCATTTGAGGATATTATTTTTATGCATTTTTCTAAATGTAAGGAGTAAATAAATTAATATGGTATTACTGGAAAATTGTTATTAGCAATGATTTAGTTTAAAGTAATTAGGATTGTAATCTAATTTTTATTAATTTAATGTATATGCTTATTTATATTTTAAGTAGTGTTTTTTTTAATTTAATTATATTTTAATTTAATGATCGTGATTTTGTGAGTTATATGTTTGTAGTATTTTGGAATACGTTTGAGTAGTATACGTTGAGTATTTTCATGCATTTTCGTGAAATTTTTCTAATTTATGAGAAAAAAGCAGTGTACATGGATATAGTGAAGAGTGTGCACAATGCCATTTTTGTGCAACTCTGGGATTTTTTTTAAGTAAAAATAAGTCGACGTGTACATGGTTTAGTTATATTTTAATTAAATGATAGTTATTTTGTGAATTTTATGTTTGTAGCTATTTGGTATACGTTTCAGTTGAAGTAAACGTGCATGGAAATAATTTAAATATTTGTCACTAAGTATTTGTAACCATTTTTAATGTTTGCGGTAGAAATTCGTTGTTGATGTTTATAATATAATAGATAATTTAAAGGTAAAAGTGTTTGGATATTTTATTTATTTTATACGTGGAAATGTTCATCCTTGGAAAGGGTATATACTTTTTCACGATCAGGTAATTTCATATATGTTCTTTTTACCAGATTTAAAGATTCACAAAAATTTCATGCATTTTCGTGAAATTTTTCTAATTTATGACAAAAAAGCAGTGTACATGGATATAGTGAAGAGTGTGCGCAATGCCATTTTTGTGCAATTCTGGGATGTTTTTTTAAGTAAAAATAAGTTGACGTGTACATGGTTTAGTGATATTTTAATTAAATGATAGTTATTTTGTGAATTTTATGTTTGTAGCAATTTGGTAAACGTTTCAGTTGAAGTAAACGTGTATGGAAATAATTTAAATATTTGGCACTAAGTATTTGTAACTATTTTTAATGTTTGCGGTATAAATTCGTTGGTGACGTTTATAACATAATAGATAATTTAGAGGGAAAAGCTTTTGGATATTTTATTTATTTTATACGTGGTGAAGTGTCTGGTGTGCAAATATAGAAAAATAACACTTCTCTGACTCCAATGGAACCAATATTTTATTCCTTACGAAGTTATAGATTCTTATTCATAAGATTTATTTACATTTTACATGCATGTAGCATCGCATGACAAAAACTCTGAGTTTGTTTACTTCGTTCTTCGCGGAGACTAGCAGGTGTTGCCATTCCGATTTAACTAAATTTAATTAGAAATGTAACGGAACTGAAGCGACACTACACACCCCCTTCCTAGTGACAGCGATTATGGAAGATAATCTTTAAAGTGACTGGGGAACTTCACATGTCTGCCGGTTCTAGTAGCCTTGGTTTCATGATGAGGTTCTGAATTTTCTTCAGTGTTCTTGAGTGCAGGTGTTTCCCCAAGTTCCGCTTTCTTGGAATGGGAGTTTTGAAAAGGAATATCAGGATCTTGCACTAGGAAACATGGCTTTAGTCTGTCTATTGAAACTCTTTTAACTTTTCCTTGGATTTCAATATCGAAGTACTTATCCTTTCTTGCTCTTACAGGATACGGTCCAAGATAGACAGGCTGTAGCGACGAACTATTAATGTTGTTGTATAGGAATACGTGAGAACAGTTGGAAAGATGTTTTAGAAACAAAGACTGTTCTATTTCCATGGGTGGTGGTAGAACTTGGCTTCATAGCTCTTATTATTTTCTGAAGGTTTTGAGAAAATTCAGACTGTTTCATATGAGGTACTGTTGAAAAGAATTCACCAGGTAATGCTAAAGGAGTTCCGTATACAAGTTCTGCGGATGAGCAACCTAAGTCTTCCTTGATGGCAGATCTTATGCCTAATAGAACGAAAGGCAATGCTTCCAGCCATGATTTTGATTCGAGTAGATGACATTTGAGACTTGCTTTTAAAGTTCGGTGTTGTCTTTCGATCAGGCCATTTGCCTGTGGATGGTACGCAGTTGTAGTGTTTGTATGGAAACCAAGATATTTTCCTAAAGCTTGAAAAAGTTGGCTATCAAATTGCCGACCTTGGTCAGATGTTATGCAATTCGGAATTCCAAAGCGTGAAAACCAAGTATAAATCAAAGCTTTAGCAACAGATTCTGCTGATTGATCTTCTAACGGTACCGCTTCGATCCATCGTGTATAACGATCGATGATGGTTAGAAGGTATTTGAATCCTTTGCAAGGAGGTAGCGGACCCACCAGATCTACGTTTAAATGCTGGAATCTGTGTGGAGGTACTTTGAATTCTCTCAAAGATGAATGTGTATGTCTGTGAACTTTAGATCTTTGGCAAGATAAACATGCTCTAGTCCATAGTTGGCAGTCTTTATTCATATTGGGCCATATGAAATGTCGTGTTATCAATTTTATCGTGGATCTTATTCCAGGATGAGATAAATTATGGATTGAAGAAAATATTTTCTGCCGAAACTTTGCAGGGATGTATGGTCGATTATAATTTGTAGAAGTATCACAGTAAATTTTCTTGTCGCTGTCCGGTATAGGGATCTGTAGGATTTTTAAGTTTGGGTTGTTTTTTAGTGTCTCCAAGTCGTCATCTTCTTGACAGTCTACTATAGTTTGTAAGTCTATTGCAGATGGTACAGAAATGGTGTCTATGCGAGAGAGAGAGATAATTCCTGCAGAGATAATTTCCTGCAGAATTAGAGTGTCGACGGTATTTTCATGCCCTTGTATGAATCGGATATCGGTTGAGAACTGGCCAATATATGACAGTTGTCCTAGCTTGTCGTGGCGAAGCTTTTTCCAAAT